TTCCTTAAAGCCTGACTATTCTGCGGTATGAGGCTTTGTGTGGGTGCATTTCTGCAATGATATTATGCATAATCAAATCACAGCTGTGGACATTAAAGCCAAACTGAGTCTTAATTTTAGGTGTTTTGGGGTGTCAAACTTCGGACACCTTTAAGAAATCTGACTTTCAGAGAGCAAGCACTTAAAACTTCTCTCAAAACTGTGTCATCTTAAAATTGCACACCCAGCCTAATGGTCACTTCTGAATTCTCCGTAGCGTACCCTGTCCTACCCCAGCAGATCAGCCCCCCAAGCCAACAGCCCTACGCTCAGGGATTATTCGTCGCTGCTCTTATTTAACATGATTTGTTCACTGGGGCTCAGAGCAATGAAACCCAGTAAATAATACATTGAACAAACAGAGAAGATAACAAAAGGAAATAGTTAAGGTACTATAATAATTTTAGCCATTCTTTTTTCAGGTCGCTATAATCTGCCCAAAGATAACTAATTGTTCAAAGTAAACATTCCACTCCGACCACAAAAGGAATCCATTACACAAACATATAATTCACAGTCATTTTTAGTGGGTTGTAAACAGTTTGGAATGAGCATAAAATGGGACAAAAATCAAAGTGAGCATTTAGAAATGAAAAAGTGTTTGCTACAAAAGGTCAGTCCCTTTACTTGGCAAACTATGTAGAAAAGCCTGGGAAAATGTTGAACACACAAGCAGTAAGGGAATTTTAAAGCCAACAACCTCCCTGTTTCTTTAAACAGACATCGGAACCTATAACTGGATCCTGTCAAACAAACGACAGCAAAAAAACATAACAGCTGCTAAGAAGTAAAGTTGAAAGATAAAGTTTTCTAAGCTAAGAACCTTCTCAGAAGTGGACTAAAGGTCTTTCTTAAATCTTTAAGCAAGGTTATGGATCCCAGGGTGGCTTTTAGGCATTGAATCAAATATGTAATTTTGTGTATCATTCCTGTCAGAGCATCCTGTGCTCCAAGAAAAGCAAAAGAAAACAATGTCTGCAATGTCCAGTTTAGAATGGAAATGGTACCTGTAATCATCAGCTTTGCTGCCTGCAGTGTCATTTTTCAAGTCATTTAGGCTGATTTGAGGACACTAACTTGGATTTGGGAATGGAGGGAGAAAACGAAGGATGTTTCAAAAGAGAGATGAAAGTTAAATTATATTTCCCTGGAGTGTTAGCACTGTATTTCTTTACAAAACCTAAACTACACTGGATACTGTTTAGGATACTGACTGCTCGGTGTGTTCATTTACTCTGTCGTTAGACACACAGACAAATGATCATCCCTGGAAAAGAGTTTAGAATCAGACTCTTTTCACATGATGAAGCTTTACTATGAGAAGTACTAGATGGCATTTTTTTTAGGTACAATGCAGGCTGATATTTTTAATTTTTTTGTGTGCTCTACTCATGCCTTTCACATATTTAAAAAAAAAATGCAAAGAAACAGCCAGCACTTTTAAAGGGTTGCGGATAACAAAATAAATAGGCGACTCAAGATATGACTGGAAATAATATCTGGCCTAGAAACACCAAAAATCTTGCAATGGGCCCCACCCTTGGCGGGAGCGCGCAGCATGTGAGTTATAGTACACTGGGAGGACTGGCCCAGGCTTTCCTTGCTGCACTGCTCAGCTCAGGGTCGGGGCTACCTATCAGACACTTTCTGGGGAGAAGAACAAGCGTGGAATACAGATTGAAAAAGGCAAGTCAACAGGTAGCCCCAGAAAAGCCTGAGGTACATCCAAGGTAGACGTCGATGGCGAAGTAAAAGACGACATAGAAAAAACAAGGAATACACCATCAAAAAGTTTTCCTCCAAGTCCCTGAGAAAGTAGAAAGTTAAGAAATGTTAGAAATCTTTGAGTAGTCACTGTATTTCTTCAATCTGATGATTGCATCGTTCAGAATTATTCTCTTACCTTCACCAGCTCGCATCGTATATATGGGAGTTTTTTTCTTTTTATTGCATTAGATCCCAAGTGTGCAATACTCTTTGCCAAGGTACTATTGACTTCAGCGGCACAGGTCTGTATAGCTAAATACTCAGGCCAAGAAGTCCATCAAAAATTAGGAATGAATAAATAAGAAGAATGAAGAAAATAAGAAAAAGAACGAAGAAAAAACCTGAGCTTGCTTACAAAAAAAAATCTTTTGCCTTACAAGTTTACAAGAATGGGCACATTTTTATTGACTCCCTTGATTAAACTCCATTACCATCCCTGCAAGATGGCTGAGTAAATGGAGAAAGACCTTCTGCCTCCCTGTCCTATTTCAATAACTACAAATAGCAAAGAAGCTGGAAAAGTGGAGTTGACTCTTGAACAAGTGAATCCTTCTCGGACAGATAAATATGCATTATGGTGTGAGAATTTTTAGACTAAACCTTATAAAGCACCTCTGTCCTGAAATGGTGAATAAGCAAACAGTAACCTAGGAGATAAATAACCAAAACCTGATCTAAGTTGCAGCAAAATAATTTCAGAATAATTCTTTTGATTTCAATGTATATATACATTTAAAAATAGTGTAACTAAATGGGAAATCTTGCCAACAGTTAATGACACCCTCTACATTTTTAATCTGTGGGAGAATATTACTACAGTTGGTTATTGTATGTAACCTCATCTATGGAGGAAAATGTACTAATTAATATGGTTTATTCAGATCACTGCTAGACTTTCTGTGCAGAGAAATAATGTTTTAAAAAGAAAAAAACACAAATAGAAAATCAATAGGTAAATAATAATTAAATCTATGAGCTGATAAATAAGAACACAACTGTTCAGCGAAGCATGGACGTTTTGTAAGTAACATTTAGGGTTAGTCTCCTAAGGTCTTTTTTCCTAATAATCATTTATCTTAAATGAAGCATGCAAGTAGCATTTTTGGTACTGTTACAGTATGTAGATGATATATTTTCTAAATAGTAAAAAAAAAAAAAAAAGCTTTTCTACAACAGCCAATATGCCAGCTGTACTGAGTATCTAGGCCATCTTACTAAGACTATGAAAGTAAACATACAGTTTTCATTAAATGTGCCTTTTCCATAATTGGTACATAAGTATTTCCCATGACTCTGCAGTTGAGTATCTTGGCTGGAGGCATATCTGGCCATTAAGAGGAGGGCTTCAGATCTGTTGAGTCTCAGCCATGCCGGGAGACTTGGCACCTCCACATACTGCTTCCTAATACCAACCCCGGTATAAAATGTCATCAGAAGCTTGCATAAACATTGGACTTAGCTTCACATAAATTACTGCTGTCCTGAGATAGTTTATGCCAGAACTTAGTAAAAACAACACTTTGAGTAAATAGAATGTGAGTAAATGCAAGCATCTTAATCCAAGAAAATGATAATAGAAAAAACTGTATATCAAATATAAACTCATAAATACAGTGATAAAATGAAATTTTTATCTCATGCCATATGATTAGCTTTTATTTACATATTAGGCTAACTAAAAGGGGTAGACTTCTCTAAGTCACAGCAAGTTTGAAGGAAACACAAGAACACTAATGCAATACTCCGAAGGATGAACTCCTTTGAAGAAAGTGATATTTTCATTTTCTTCTGTGAACATCTCTCTGATAATCACACAGACAATAAACATCTAATTAAGTTTCTTGGATTTTTCTGTTACAGTTCAGCAGCGCAGAGACCTCTGACCTCACTTCTCCTGGAGGAGTGGTCAGATACCACAAAACATCTATGAAATACCTAGTGCATCTTTTGGAGAACCTGTGCTACGATCGTAACCGAACAGTCAATTAGACATGTTCTGCTTGGCGTGGCATTTTTATAATCTAATCTCTGCCTTTCCTTTTCATGTTCTGAATTTCTCCTCATAATTCCTCTTCTATTAATAGTCACTTCACACATTTCTCCCCTTTCTTTGTCTCTTTGTTTATCCAGCCTCCGGCCTTCCTCCAAAAAACCAATGCTACTATCTCCCCCTACCGAACGATCTCCAGTTTTAGTCTCTGACTTCCTGCCAATCATTCTGGGAATAATAATATCCCAGTGCTCTCTTTGCTGTATAATTAAAGCATGAATTTCCCAGACTTTGAAACTCCAGGGTAGTTTTATTGCACCTTTCACTATAAAACCAGGTAACAATGATGGAATTAAAATAGCTTTTTCCTTAGTGGTTAACGGTCTAAGTATCTTTTTATTTTTCATTGGTTCTCTTGTTCTGAGACTCCAGTATATGGCAGTGACAATGGGTTCACCCAGCCTTATTCTGAAAATAAATTTTCTATCTCTTGCAAGATATATATTTCCCCAGATCCCTGGAACAAGTTGTAAACTTGTAACAGATGGTGATGAAGCCTCACATTTTTATACAATACATTTTAAGATTCTGCATCTACCGCATGTACCTTCCAAAGAAAATGACCTTCAATGAGAGAAGATACACTCTGAAGAAAGGAAGGCAGGCAACGGTGTTAAGCACATCTTTTTATACCGTGAAAATCCTTCTTATTAAATTAATCAAAACTTTTAATGAGGATGAATACTCGTTCCAATATTCTTACATTATTATGGATTTTTAAAATAACTGTAAAAATTAGGCACCTGCATGCATTAAAACAAAAATATGGTCACACTAGAATAAGATTTATTTTGGTTGAATACAATTCAGGACTTACTCAGGAAAAAGTATTGACATTATGCACATCAGAGACTTCAGAATGAAAGTTACTGACATTTTATTGATGTTTAGCATTTGGCTTACCCAGAGAAAGACTAAACCAACAATGTGTCAAACAAAATATAAGTAATAATCAGCACCAATGGGTTCTATTAGTGAGTTATCATATTAAGAAAATGAAGATACAGAATGTGATATAGTTCAGTTCATAACTATGTTATAAATTGAACTGCCTGCCTACCCTGCCAATTCAAGCAGAGTTACAAAGTTAAAGTTTTGATTACTAATAGGGAAAAAAAATAGTGTTAAATATTAAGGTACTCACCTCTTTTTTCAACAGCTTTTATACACAGTCTTACAAACTGGGGGACTGTAGATTTCTCATGCTCACAAACCAAGTGCAAATGAGAGCCAAAAATTTGATCTACATTTGGAAAAGAAGAGGAAAATACATTAAGGCATATTATTAGTAGTGGGAGTTTTCTCTCTTTTGAGCTTGCATATTAATTAAAAACTCAGCTGTCGAAGATGGACAAAGAAAGTTGGAAACAAATCCTTTTTGAGTCCTAGTGGTCATTAGCTTCTGCCACAAAACCAAATGTCTTAATATCTGCTGCCCGTAGCACTTGGATACTTCCCCTGGGTTCAAGTTTCAATTGCCATTTACACCTTGACCTTGACCTTGACCTTTCTAAGGCTTGGAGGTCTCTGGAGTTTGCTTTGACCTGCCGTAAAAAAGTGAAGGCAATTCTAGAGATACAGCTCCATATCTTGTTGAATCTAAACTCATGCACGATATTAGCTGATGGTCCAACCTTGAAACTCATATTGTCAGGGAGTGTGTCTCTTCCACACATACTGAGTTCACTCTTGTCATAAAGCACCATAAGGGTGCAAGGGTTTCGTTACTTTGCATCATTAGGACTTAGTACAACTTCATCTCACCTTTACAGGAGGGTTTTTGTCATCAAATTACCTGTTTAAAAAATAGAAGGTACTAGATGTCTTTTGATGAGGATTGCATATTGTACACCAATTTTAATTTGTGATTTGTGTTGTTTCCTTGATGAACAAGTGTTTAACTAGATAATGCTACTTTTTGGGCTTTATGATTTCAAAGTTCTGATCAGCTTTGAATGTTGATCTTGAAACTTATTTGTATAAGCAGGTTAAACTCCTCAGATTACTAATTAGCTTCCTTCACCTCATTTCCACTCTATATGTTTGAGAAATTATGAAAAGAGCAATCAGTAATGGGGATGTTGTCAGCTCGAATCAAAATGAATCAAACAGATGAGAGAAACTACTCAATAGGAGCCAGTTAAATGCTCAAACAATAGGAGTGTACTATCATCATTTATCCAGAGACAGTCTCCATATAACATTTCAACAGAGTACTACATTTTGGAAATTGCGTAGAGGCTTTGAAAATTTTTGTATAGATAGCTGATGGGTGCTAGCACAAGCCTGGACTCTGCACAGCAAACCCAACAAGCACACTCATTCATGGAACAGCAGGAGCTCCTGCTGTCCTTTACAGCTCCCATGGCGTGGGATATTTCATCCATAGTCAGTCCCACCATCTTCCACCATAATCAGTTTGAGTGCTTGTTCCTCCAAGCAGCGCACCTTCTTCTCACTAAGTGGCCAAAAGGCATTTGTTTATTTTCTGCTTTGCAAGGAGCTTCACTTTCCTATCATTAATCACTACTATTTCTTACTAAGCTTAGATTTCAAAAGCAACTCAATTGTCTTTTGTGTCCTAATACCCAGAGTAGGGAACAATCAGGGAAATAAGGTGGGGTGCATGGGATGGTTTGACCTTCTTGATACGTGTCAGGGAAGTTTATTCCAGCACCTCCCAATGCATGTGATCTGCATTCTGGTAGAGTATATCCAAGCCCAAATTTAAGTTAGTTGGAGTTTCGGCTGCAGAAGGGATGGAGGACTGGGTTCACAGAACTACGCTGAAGAAGGTTGTGTGCATGTGTGGCGTTAAGCATTAGCGAACAGTCTGTTACATGTTCTGGGGTTATGTTTCTGACAAAGCACAGTCTGGTTACATTTTCTTCATAAAACATTTATAGCTGCCTTCAGTGGTAATTATATATACAGAGATTTATGATTAAAATGTACTAGCGCTTCCTCTTTTGACATTTTAATTGTTTTTTAAAATTTTAGCAAAGGCCTGTCAAATTCTTTGCATAATATGGAGTGGTCTCCAATGTAAATGATGTTAAAAAGAAGTAAAAATGTATCTTATTTGGTGGACAAAGACACTTGTAAACAATTTCAGAAGCAAAACAGGCAAAGAACCGCACTCTGTTTAGGTGGCGATACATGAAGAACTGAAACAAAACTAATGCACGGGTGTTCAGCAGCTTCTCTTCTCTATTATAGTCACTTTATAGCCAACTTCCAGGATTATTTTGCAGTCACTCTTTCAATCCCCAGTATGAAGGCAGAATACTTGGTATTCCTGGGAGGAAATTTTGAAAAAGCTGGAAACTGTTTTGCAATTCTCACCTAGTCCATTACTGCTTTTCTGGGGGCAGGTTCTGTATCTTCAGCAAAATGTTTAACCTCATTTCATATCCCTTTCAGTATATGGATATAGTCACATTCTGCATCCTGCAGTTAAGCTTTAAAACACCTCTTCTTTAGAAAACAGGCATTCAGGATTTTTATCTTGAATGGAAGGGGCAGCAAATCAGCATTAGAAGTTGCTGGGCATCAAAAGAGACTGTGGTAAAACGACGACACACAACTGCTTTGGGTTTTTTTTTTCTCCCCTTCTAGAAACTCATGAGTATTTCTAAGTAAATGCTCTCATGAGTCATCCAAATACTCTGAATTCTGGGTACTCCTGAACTGCAAACTCTGTGACTCTCTCTAGTCAACTGATTTTTTGCTGGATCTGTTTCTGTACATAAACATGGGAATGGCAGTAGTTACACTGCCATATTTACACTTTTAGAGGTCACAGGAATAGTTGAGGAAAACTCAGTTAAGATTTGTTTGTGCAGTATTTTGAAAACAAGGAATTATAGGAATGGCAAATTACTAACTTTTGTAGACTAAATTTATGTGTAACTAAGATTAAAATATGATTTTCTTATTCTTTTATAGGTGTGTATATATATTTTAAAACTAGTTTAAGGGGAAACTATCCAGGAGATTTTTTCAAAACATAAGAACTGCTCCCAAAGGGATAAAAGAAGCAAAAAAGACTTCGCTTGATTTATTTGTGATAAGGCCCTTCAAAACTTTATTTTTTATGACTAGAAAAAAAAAAAAAAAGATGTACACAACACTCCTAACCTCCTGTTATGACAGTTTATGTTTCCTATCCAGCTTATTTAACTCAAATGCCTGGGAAATAGACACAATTACCACCTTATGGAATGCTACTTAACTTTAAATGCTCCCCTCTGAATAGAAATCCACTTTGTCTTCTCAGAGTTATTCCAGTTTCTCAGGAATTATTTCCTCTATAGGCTCCTGAAATGCTCTTGTTTCATCATTTAAAAATTTAAACTAACAATTGTTCAGAAATATCTTTTATTAGAACAAAGGCAATTCCCATACAGTGGATTCTGTTCACAAGAGCTTGTACAAAGGAGCTGCATACTATGCCCATATACAGCTTTAATCATTCACTCTTTCAGCTGTTATCAATTTAAAACCAATGAAACTCCCACACTGAGTCCATTTGAGCAGTCAATTTTAATATCTTGGGGCATCTGTAGTTATTCTGAATTGGCTGCAAAAGCAGAACTAACAAGTTAAGCTCTAACCATAAGTCTACATCAGGCTGGTAAACCATACATCAAACACAGACAGTTAGTCAATACTGTAGTATGAAAAACCAACAAGCATTTTTAAGAAGAGCAATATATTCATAATATGTTTGGTGGTATGGTTTACATTACACATCCCTGATATCTGCACATTAAACTTTCTATTTAAGATGGTGGGCTGTGTGACAGCCTTGCACATGGATATAAAATGAGACACCAGAAGAGGAGGGAATGGACATTCGCAAGTTGTAGAAAATAAAATGATGATTACAGCTGCAATGAATTGCTTGTTCTGGTGAGCTTCAAGTTTTCCCTGAGCCTGACAGAGCTACTTTTTTTGAGTAGCTCTCGCAGGCTGCAGCAAAGCCACTAATTCTGAGCTGCAGAAATCTAGTCTATGGGAGACAATACTTCTGGAAAAGAAACAATTAAAACAATATCACTAAAGCCACATCCTCACTGAGAATGTCATTGTTTAACTGTTTTTGGTGTACATGGATGAGATGTGGCCACACTTGGAGTGAACTCATACTTCAGTGTTTTTTATTAAAAAAACAGGGAAGGGCATGGCTAGTATTTCCATTTCTCGGGGAGAAGCTCAAATTCTGACACAAGGAGAGAAGGTATAATGGTGTAATGCCCAAATTTTTAGAAATGTAAATTATATCTATGTAAGTCAGTGCCTTCCAGGAGCAGAATTAACTCTGCTACATGTGGATTTGAACTGTTGGACTACCAGAGCTTTGTATCAACATCTAAGCCGTTTGTTTTCTTTGTATCTCTTTGAATGCTGGGAGGGGAAAAGGGGAAAGAGAACAAAAAGGCAAAATAAAAGAAGAATGTACAGAGAGAGGGACAAAACAGTAGGGACCAGGGCAGTGAAGTTTTTGGAGGGGGAAGGGATGAGGTGGGAAAGGGCCGCATTCTGAAAGGTGACTTCTTCTAGCTGCTCAATCTGTAGAGTCAGACATATTAAGTCAAACATTAAAATGATGCTGCTCCCAGACTGGGCTCCAAATAATGCCACGACGCTTTTACAATAAGTGGGCCAGGTCCTCAGCTGACTGAAGTCAGCGAGGTTGTCAAAGGAGCTCCCCTGATTTATGCTAGCTGGGAATCTTGCCAGTCCTTTTAACTTGGAGATTTACTATATATCGTTGATCTGTGGTGGTCATCAATTTAAAAAAAATTACATTTGTGAACAGTTACTATTAAGTGGCATATGAGCTACCAGATTTGTTTCACATCCTAGAAAAAGGGAAAACAGTACTGCAGACACTGGTCTCTTAAGAAATGATGGTGTTTTACTGGGGACAAGAGCTCATCTGCACATAGAGCGAGTCTGCTGTGCTCCTCAAAACAGGTCTCCAAAAATGAGATATTTTTAAATTATCCTCATTATTTCTGACCACCATGTGAAAGGAAAAAATCACTTTGTCCAGTGTCTGGCCATCCACAGGGTTTGGGAAACGTACTTCCAAAAGTCCATGCAGTAGTCAAAGAAAGAAGGAAATACCCTTGTGACCCACTGTCCCTGCGAGTCAAAGGAAACATTTCCTAACTTTCCCTGGTTTATTATGGGCACCAGAGCACTTGCTAAATTCCTGCATAACCCCGAAGCATTACAGAACACACCAAAGATAGGTCTTAATCTCCTCTTTTGGACTTCTCATGAACATTACACTCATTACACTGAACTACTCCAAAGTCCATTGAGATATATGAAACAATAAAGATGTTTTCCCTTGTCTGGAAATGAAATGGTTGGTGATCTCTGTGCTGCTATCTGCACAACCACCAACATATGCTGATGCCTGTTCTATAGGCTATCAAGCCAAATCACAGCTAGTTCCTTTCACTAGCAATTGAGGGGCTTTTATTTTCATCTTGAAACAGTTGTAACCATTCCAATTTTTACGCTGTTTTGGTTTTTGCCTTAACTTAACTTAAAAAATAAATTCAGTGAAGTTCCTTTGGTGTCTAGCTTTTGGGAAGAAAAAAATCCACCCCCAAAAAACCCTAGAATAATTTCTTGCCAGCTGCATAGCTGCATTTTCCTCATTTCCCACAGTGTCATTTATGTTAAGTTGTTACTCATGCTTTTTTACCATTTACTGAAAGTGTATTTTGTGATAGTCTTTTACCAAAACAACCACCACAGCTTTAAAATCACAGTTTCACAGAAGCCTTTTTTTTTTTTTTTTTTTTTTTTTTTTTTTTTTTTTTTGTCCTAACCCATGCTCTGTAGGCAGAAACTCATAAATGATTTGTGGACTAGAAAGGCTCAGAAATCAGGAAGTTAACAGGCCAATATCAAGTTGAAGGTTGGCAATTCATTTTGGGTAATATTAAATCATGACAAAGCTCAAACATAAAGATCAAAGTTCAATTATAGACTATAAAGTAGTTTTAAAAGAGAAGATTTATATATTATTTTTCTAGCATATTAGTGCAGATTCTGTAAATTCTGAGAATATTTCAATCCTGAGGAACTGAGAACCCCTGCCCTAGCATATAAATTTGAACACAGTTATACTCAAAATAACACTGTTAAAATGGCAGACATGGAACATGCCTCTTATTTACTATTTCCAGGTTTGCATGCATGGGTGGATATATATGAACACAAGTGTGCATCTGGACACATATACATTATGCAAAAATACTGTATTACGCATCACCTCAAAAATGGTTCAAAATGCTTCTAGAGCAAAGATATTTTGTGTAAGCATGAGTGAGATGGAACGAGAAGGACTGATGATCTTCATTAGAGCTCTCGCTGGAGCACGAAAAGCACCAGTCACCAGCCCATCGCAATGAATGGAGCCAATGTGCTCTTCCCATTCCGGCTTCTTTTATGCAGAGGACTAGAAAGCACATGGGACAGCGATGGCAAAAATAACTTTCTGTCATGTAAAGCATCAGCGTGTCTTCATTTTCAGATCAACGCGCAACTAATATTTACACGTTGGTCTGCTACATTCCCTTGTCTGATTATTATCCTCTTATTCTTCTCATTTGTTAACTACCTACTCTATTTACTACATGGATATTTACTACATTCTACATAAACTAAGTTTTGTTAAGAGTTAAATGACAATCACATAATTTCTAGATTTTCTGATAACAGTGTTGGCAGAACAAAGTACCCCAGGAGATCAAACTGCTATTTAATTTTGAAGCCTGTATTCCCAAATTTGGTTAATGTGGAGAAATGTGTTGAGTCTTCTGGCCAAGTGTGTACACATCAGCGACTAACAGAGCACAGAACTGTGTTTAAGTGAACTTACCACCTTAAAATGTATTTACTCATGACTATAATTTACGTGTTAAATTTATTGGAGTTTTGGTTCCAATGTGACATACAATGTAAAAAATCAATATAGATTTGAGAGCTTTATAGTGCCCCTGGCAAATATGAATAGCACTTGATGAAAAGTGAAGGTTTTCACAGCACCTACAGTGCCACTGCATTGGAGTAATTAACACCACATGCTTCACAGATATTTATATCAATTCTTCACTAGCACACAGAACAGCTCTTTGTCAGAAATTCGGTACCGAGATGTCCTGCAAGGCTTTAGACACACTTTTATTACGAGCCCCTATTTTAAGGGATTTACAATTCTGACAGAAGTATTTCCCTATGGGATAAAAGTTAGTATGCATGTTCTCAGAGCTGGAGGAATTTTTTTCTTGTAAAAATTGGTTAACATTTTTTCCCTTAAGAAACAAGCAAATAAATAGTTTTGAGAGGTTTCTGCAACCATTAAAGTCACCTTAGAAAAATAAATAGATGCATCTTATAATATGAAATTTGGCAAGCTTTTCATTTTCAATCTGGATGGTTGCATTTTGTGATTTAAAAATATTCTAATGTGAGCCTAAAAATTAACATTTAAAAGTGGTCTCTGTATAAGCACTGCAACTGCATTTTCATAACATTTTAACAGATTAAGGGATAAACTCTGGTGAAGACAATGAAGGAACCTTATCAAATGAGCATTTCACATAGACTTACCGTAGGTTGGAATTAAGCTGTGCTAACGAATCCTGCCTCATTTGCATGGCCAAAACCTAATCCTAATGAAACTTCATGGTAGATAACTAACACGTTTGCTTCATGGTAACATCAGTTTGGTAATAAAACTGTGCTGGGTACTGATTCTGAACTACTGTGTCACAAATCATGCATCTTCATTACCCATGGAAGAGTATCCCAGGTAGAACCAAGCTATTTTTATGACTCAAGATCTTAATGCAACTGTAGCTAAAACCAAATGCATGTGGCTTTCCTAGAGAGATATATTAGAGGATGGATTTGAGTTATGCTAATGAATCTGGATTTGTTAACAGGGATCACATCTGATCCCTATGTAACACCGCAGGAGATTCATCAGCCACACTTTATTAAACTAAAAAAAACCCCTTTAAATCCAGAAATTAAAAGACTATAAATTACTCCTCTATTACTGTAATAACTGAAACAAACTAATATGATGCATTCAAATCCCACCCTCAACCCACAGAGTACTTCAAAGAGGCAAAATCCTCCAATGTATTGAAATCAGATACTATGAATGTGTAGGGACAGATCCTGAAAGTTGGGTGTGTGAGTGTGCACACCTCACACATATATTTAGGTATAAATGACATTTTCTAAAAGTTTCGGTGACAGTTAGAAGCAGAAGCCCATCACTAAGGCACATAATGATTTCATATAATGAAGACTTCCTTACAGTAGGCAATATTGCACTGAACATTTCTGCATGTATCTAAATCATAAGAACTTAATTCATAAAATCTTCTCCTCCTCTTCATACATGGGCCCAGCTGGTGTTTAACTCTTGTGCCTGCTTTAGCTTTTGCTGGCTGGGGTCAATCTCTTGGCTCAGGACAGACAAGGTTAATACACACTAGCAACACCCCTTGCCATTTTTGACACACCACTGGAAAACTCACTCTCCAGAGATTGACAGGGGCTGCTGGCAAAATGCCTCCGTCTCGTCAATTTGCATGTGCAGTTGTGGGTTTCACACATAATAATTTGGGAGTGTGTAAATTTTTCAAGCATTATTCCAGACAATATTTGAAAACGTGGCTTTGCTTGATTATTAGTGGTCAGAATGCTACTGCCTTCGAGTTATCTACCAGCTTCTTAGCCAAACGCTTACTCCTTGGATAAACTAACAAACGTGTTTTATCAAAGAAACAATTTTTTAAGTATATGTGAAAGTGATGGCTGACCAACTTAGCAAGATATTGGAGTAGGAAAAAATCACGGATTCAAAGCATTTATTATTCATTGGCACGCATTTTAAATTGTTAAAAATGTATTTTGTTGGCGAGTTAGAAAAATAATGAGAGAAGACAGCAGAAAGTATTCCAGCCTACCCTAGAAAACAAATTAGTCAGCACAGCATCTGAAGTTCCTACTTCAGATTCTAAAATATAAAACTATATCAACATTCTTTTCTTAAAAAAAAATGGAGTTGTGCAGCATGTTGATTTGCAATGTTCATGATGAGTGCCTGTGTTAAATGGAGGGGCTTCTACCAAATGCACACCAAAGAAGAAAAATAGAAGCAGTAGTCAGATAGCACAGAGACAGATATAACCATAAGTTAGTTTTTTTCTTTACAGTTCAACAGTGTAAATTTTATGAGATACAGCAACAAAACCATATCTAAGAAGGATTTGTCCAATGCACTTATTTGCTTAAACGAGAATGAAAAATTCATTTGTGAATTTTTACTTTTTACTCCAAAAAAGTATATAAGACTGAACACACCTTTAATAAGTCCCTTTTCTTGCAAAGTTTTCAAGGAGGGTCTTCGGGAGATGAACTTCTTTAATCTGCTTTTAACTCGGTTTCTGTCATTTGTATCAGAGGCACTGTAGTTCAGTCTGAAAACTAAAGGAAATAAAAAGAAAGAGCTTCAGTGAAACACTATTTTTAAACTAATAGCAGTTTGCTCAAATATCCTTAGAAAATAATGGCCATAGCCACCCTAGTAAAATCATGTGGTAGGCCAGCAGTGTAGCTGGTTGGATAGTACAAAATATCTGATTAATACTTTTGTGAATAAACATGATGAGTTCACTCTGCTGGTTTTCACAGAGTTGTGTTATTTATTGCCCATAAGCATTTGGATGGCGACCAGTTTACTCATGAAATGTTCACGAATCCCACAAGTTTCACATGGATGATTTTTCAACTAAAACTCTGGACTCAAAGCGTGCTATGCACTATTAGCTATATACTACTTGTTATGAGAAAGGATGGATGGTTACACCACTAGTGAAGGACTGAATTCTCTTGCCAAGATGGATTAAGCGTTATATATATATTTAATGCAGTTATAGAAAACATGGCTATTTGCCATGAAATGTGTGCAAGATGCATTAATTTATGGAAAGAAAAGTATTCCCATCCTAATGATTATATTTTATTATATTTAGGCATTTACCAAACTGAGAAACATTTTGAGCTCAATTTATTCCTGCTCTGTGTCAAAAAGACATAGAACCCAGCTGCAGAAAATCCCCTGGAGGAAGTTTCAAAGGCATAAATTTAACTTTTTCTCTGCTGAGGTGCTTACAGGGCACCATCATAGCTATCAAAATAGGCAGTATTAGTAGGAAGGAGAAACTCAACACTCAAGGCTGGATGCTACAGAAGCAGCAGCGATGCCAAGGGAAGATTTTCTTCAAAGGTTTCCCTGAACAGGCAGATTTTTAAAGTTTTCTAACAAATCACCTGAGCCTCACCACCCTTGAACAACCCTTATTTTGTGTCCTGGGCTCTCTCACGCTACCCGTTCCCCCAAATGCTGAGCAGGAAAATGGGAAAGCTAGAGCTGTACAGCCTTCCTTGGCAAGGACCTCCAGCTGAGAGAGGGGCGGCTTCTGCTTTTTGAGGAAAGAATAGCTTTCCATCATCTCTTGAAAATAAATAAAGAAATCCACCAAAACACAGTACTCTCCACAAGTGGAATTTGCAGGAGTTGGTCCATTGTCCCTCTGACAGAATTTCTAAATAGTACCCTGGTTAGTTTAGCTGCAGTTATAGAGATGCCCCTAATCGCCCCATCCAGACTGAATCTCCCCTGCAATGCAGTGATCTTCATATAGGGAAACCAAGGGAAGAGAAAGAGAGCAAAAAGAAAATTATCATCGATATTATTGGGCTATTTTGCAGCAAGAAGTTTTGCATAAGTTATAAACAGCACCAGATAATAATATTTAAAGGTGCAAAAATTATAAAACAATGGCAAGCTAAAATAACCGGTTAAGCAACAGTAACAACCCTGGAATACTGTGGTTTACGTTACAAATCTGATTTTAACAGCCAAACTTATAAAATGGTTTATGCTTTGCTGTTGTCAAGGGAGAAAAACTTGCCAAATTGTTCATTTTAAGTAAATAGAACATAGCCAATTAAGGAAAGCAATATTTAAACACATGCCTACAATGATCAGAGCATAGTTTGCTTCTGATTTCACTACTGATTTTAACAGAAGAGTGCTCCATTTTCCCACAGCACGAAAATGACCCCACACATACTTCCACAAACTAGTAATCACACAGGACAAATAAAAGGACACTTTACTGGAAAATACACAACTTGGTAGAATAATCCATCACTTATGAAAAATAGAATTCACATTTTTTAATGGTAGCATTCTTGGAGTGATGTATCATAGAACATAAAGATTAGCATTCAATTGATGGTTGGTGCTTTTTTAACTTTATAGTGGAGGACTTTTTGTTCGAAATTGAGCAATCCTTGGCAGGGACAAGCTAAAATTCCAAGTCACTTGGCTGTGCTATAAAAAGAACGACAAATGGATGTTTCTAATTCTGCATCTTAATGGTACTTTGAAACAGTGAAGTGAATTGTATTTAGTTTGGGGACTCTCTTGTTGCTTAGGGTCATTCTGTCCATCGCGATTCATATTTAGGTTAGATTTTTCCTGACTTACATTGAAGCTTCCCCAGTGCAAACGATGCAGGAGTGAAAACATCTCTTAAGTCACTTAAGAGGCCTGCCACATTTCCCATTCTGCAGGACTCCGCAGCATTTTATGCCCACTTGAACTGCATGCTTAGCTCTAAGCACGCACCAGATTTGTTAAGATATTTTAACTGAACTGAACGCGGTCATACTGTGAGTGGTAAGATAGGGGATCTATGACTTGGCAGCCTGGTAAAGATCCCTCTGTTTAGAAAGAAGCATTAACCCAGCTGGAAGTTTTATACCTGAAACGGCAATTATGGTGTGAAAACTACATCTAGAGGTAGGAATAATTATTGTCATGGATACTTTTGTATGTTCTATGTTGAACTGTATAGCGCATAGTCAAAAACAGCAGCAAAGCTAATTTTGATGAATTTCTTATTTTATTCTATTAAACATGTGTGAGTCACCAGAGGGAACCTCCAACCCTCCCAGAAATTCAAGGGTTTAGATAGCATGTTCCAAAACCAAGCTTAGCCAGAAATATTCTTGTTGGGATCTCATTTAGAAATATTGCTTGTCTTGCCAAACCATTCTTCTCGCGATATCCCCACATTAAAATGACTTTGTTATGATGTTTGGAAATATAAACAGGACCAAATGTTACTTCCAAGAGAAAAAATAAAAGTAGTTATAAAACTCAGAAACCACAATAAATATTTTTTGGAGTACCTTCTTTTTTAAATTTCAGGTTCTGGATTTGGCCAGAAGAATCCTCTATGAAAGAGAGCTGGCAAATGTCAAACAACATAAAAAAGTGGAAAGCAGTTCCATACAGAAGTAAAATAGGACACTTAAGGATCTAAGAATAAAATAATAGGAAATAAAATCTACTGCTTGTTCTACCGTATGTTCCCTGGCATAAACTGCATAGGTGTGCCATTTGATTCATTGTACTGAATAAACTTGTATCTTCAATTTCTGAAGATGCTCACGCTGACATATCCACATAAATGCTTCAAAACCAACACAGAACAGAAGGATAATTCCCTTCCCTTTGCACAGACTCTTCAGTTAAGTATTTCTTATACTGCACTAAGAGCTTCTGAGGCAGGAAAAGGAAGCACATGCTGGCTCTTGTTGGGCCAGGGCCTTTTACAGTACATGTAGAGGGGAACCCAACAGAGGTCAATATTATGCTAAATTTCTTCTGCTAGTGCAAGTGGCTGCAAGGTGACTTCATTCCAAGAGCAAAACAATAACCTGAATAGTGGCTGACCTTCACATTTGGCTGGAAATAAAGTTGGACCCTCAGATCTAGAAAAACATTTCTGATAACTTTGGTTGCTTTATTAGGTCTCTATTTATTCCATAGGTGGGAAAGGTACTAATGGTTATATGAAAAAAATGGCAAGATCTTTTTCCTCAGATAATTTGCTCTAGAATTAAGCTATATTAAATCACAACAGCTTATCACATTAGGGAAGTGTAATACAGATTGGGTACAAAAAGAAAATAATATAAATGCATCATTAGGCATAAAAGAAAGAACTCATCTTTGGCCCTTAATGTTGGATAGCACTGTAATAACATCAGCTGAATTAGGAAGGAAAACTATAGGCTAAATTCTCTGCAAAAAAATTGCACCAAGATAAAACAGACCTGTCTTTTTTTGGGCCTATATAAATCCTCTGAGTACTTATTTAATGCCACAACTCTAGCCTTAATATTCCTAATAACACATAAAAACCCAGGAGTATCATGCAAAAACCACAAAATAAAGTCTGTACAAGAGCTTTTACACAAGAAGACAGGTGGAATGAAAGAATTTATGCATTACCTCCAGATCACACAGTTGTGCAGAAATAACACCATCAGAGTCAATGGAAGTTTTGAGATGTACAGATGAAGAATTGCTTGCTGTAATTTAATGCACTAAATTGTATGTATGGTGCAATGAGAATGAACATATTATAATTTAAGCAGTATTAAGCAGTGGCTAATGTATGTGCAATATGAAGCTACAAAAGCCTTTCTCCAGGGTTTCAACTAAAAGAACCAGGCAAGGCTCTAACCTTTTCAGGGCAAAGGTCAAAATTTTCATGTGATTGCTTTCTGTGAATTTAGTCATATACCTAGACAATATATTTCCAGCAGACTGTTTTTCCTGGGTGTGATGTTCTGGGCAGAGCCTGAATGATTCAGAAAGTAAAATGTTTTAATATGTTCTAAACAGCTCCACATTTTATTGGCAAGACTTTGTAACTCCATATAACATGATCTCACATTCCTTCCGACAACTTTTATTTCACTCTTAATTTACAAAACATTTATACGTAATCCCAAGGGTTTACCTATGATTAATTCCTGCCAGGTACAGTATATCTGAACACTTCTAACGCGTTGAAAGCATTGGTTTTTGAAGAACTATCCATTAATGACTTTCTGAACTGTGACAATGGATATTGACAGTGCTTGTCAGACTAAAGCACTATTGATTGTCTCACATCATGTGTATAGCAAAACCAATTTCTTCCAAGTACCTCTTCCTAACTGAAATGCATTATTATGGTGCCTATCTGTTTATTATAACACCCAAAATTATCGTACGTAATTCATTTGGACGGAAAGGGCTCATACAGAATGAAGAGCAGCAGTGGGAGTGGGTAAGGCATTAAGAGACTCAAATAGCTTTACATTAGTACCTTCTCTTCCATTAGCCTTATTCTGCAGGAAAACCCCACAACTAGTCTGGACCATGCAAACTTTTTTCAATACCCTTGAGGACTTCAAAATTTCGAGAAGTTCTTAGATATGGAGATGACTTGCAGTATAATGATAACACCCATAAATGGAGATTTAACAATTCTGTTCCCAAGGAATACGAAAAGTGACAAGCTTGACCATTCAAAATACAGAATACACTGATCAAAATCCTAGCTGCAACTTTTTTA